TCTAGAAGGCGCTGGAGCGGCTGCTAATTGGGCATTTTGCGGGTTGGGGACTCCACTGTTGTGTGCATTCCAGTTTTTTTCTGCGCTACAGTCTCTCCATGGGGTTGGCAACGCGGAGATGCTATCGAGCCCCATCTGCGAGGCATTTGTCTCATGAGGCTCAACGACTAAGTGGGACCGCTCGGAGAAGAACGTCCATGCGCTGCAGTTAGTGCATGCTTATGCACGTGGTGATTGGACACAAACACGCACCATCCGATGTTTGCCGGCTATACTCTCGGGGGAAATATGCAGGCTACTGAGTCGCCGAGGAAGAGCCAGCCCATCACGGCAGCGCTCCGATGAAAATTTGCGGATACTGGGGTGTAGCGTACGGGGCGATGCGTTAGCAGTAGATTCTACCCCAACACCCCGGCTTATACGCCGCGCTCAACCAACGCCAGCATGGGACTACCGAATGGGCTACCGACTGCTATTGCAGTCTGGATGGCACCAGCCCCATGTCGCGACCTATACCATGGAGATGGGTATCTGGGGACGCGGAGAGCGGATATATAGTGTGCGCTGTATCCCTTCACTGAAACAGCATCAGCTTCTCGCTCTTCGTCTCTCACTATCTGGGATTCGCCTCTACAGACATATCATCTGTTGATCCTTGGGCTATATCTACTTTCGTTCCCAATCTTCATCTTTACCCTACTATCACCATGGGTTTCTTTGGAAACAACGGCTCGCAAGAGCCTACTCTGGACCAAGTCCACGAGCAGCAAGCTCGTCGCCCTTCAGTCGCTGAAGTCGTCGACGAACAGGTTCGCCGCAAGTCTGTCGACAATCGTGTCGTCACTGGAGCTTCCGCTCTCACAGTCCGCCAATCCATCGTTCCCGTCACTTTGGTCACTATCCTCTTCTTCATGTGGGGATTCGCCTACGGTCTTCTCGATGTCCTCAACTCTCGCTTCCAGGTCGCTCTTGACATCACCCGTGGAGAGTCGTCTGGTCTCCAGGCTGCTTACTTCGGTGCTTACTTCATCGGTCCTTTGACATACTCTGGATGGTTCCTCCGCAAGTTCGGTTACCGATACACCTTCATTCTCGGTCTCTCCATCTACTGCGTCGGTGCTCTCATGTTCTGGCCTGCGGCTGTCAAGCGAAGCTTCGGTGGCTTCTGTGGTGCCATGTTCCTTGCTGGATCTGGTCTGTCTACTCTCGAGACTTCCGCCAACCCTTACATTGCTGTTTGCGGTCCTCCCAAGTACTCCGAGTTCCGCCTTGAGCTGTCTCAGTCCGTTCAGGCTGTTGGCTCTGTCGTTGCTCCCGTCCTCGCTGCTCAGGTTATCTTCAAGAATGTTGGTACCGACGGCAAGTCTCTTGAGGCTGTTCAATGGGTCTATCTTGGTATTGCTGGCTTCGTCGGTATCCTCGCTGTTGTCTTCTACTTCGCTCCTATTCCTGAGATTACCGACTCCGACATGGCCGACCAAGCCGAGATGACCACCGCTGCTACCGGTTACGTCGACAAGCCTCTCCGCAAGCAGTACACTCTATTCTGGGGTACCGCTGCTCAGTTCTCTTACGTCGCTGGACAAGTAGGCGTCGCTGCTTATTTTATTAACTATTTTGTTCGTATAACCCGTACACATATGCTATGAAACATTTACTGACTTCAAATTTGTAGGCTGAGGCACGCCCTGACCTTTCCGTTACTGAAGGCCACCACGAGGGAGCCAACTTCTACGCCATCGCCCAAGCCCTTTTCGCAGTCGGACGTTTCGCAGCAGCCGGACTCATGTACTACGGCGGCAAGCCCCGTTACGTTCTCCTCGCTTTCCAGACCCTGATCATGATCTTCATCAGCGCTGCGATCGGCACCAACACTGGCAGCGCCACCCGTCCCAACTGGGGAGGTCTCAGCATGCTCATGATCGTCCTCTTCTTCGAGTCCTGCATCTTCCCCATCATCTTCGCCCTTACACTCCGCGGTCTCGGACGCCACACCAAGCGCGGTGCTTCTTTCCTCGTCTCCTCCGTCTGCGGTGGTGCCGTTGGTCCCGTCATTCTCGGCAACGTCGCTGACCGCATTGGAACACGGAAGGCTATGTGCATCCCGCTCATCTTCTTCGCGATTGCCTGGTCTTACCCAATCTACCTCAACATGGTCAAGGGCGCCGAGCTCGATGCTTACAGCGAGAGCCATGTCGGTACCACTGACGGTGCTATTGACAACGACTCTGTGCTTGCTGGCAAGGACGTCGAGGCCCGCATGTTTGAGACCAAGGTCTAAATGTGTGTGCTTTGATACTATTGGGTGGGATTACTTTTGGATTAGATGATACCTATGAGGCTTGAACGATGATAGCGCGGCGTTTATGAAGGCATGATCGGACTTCGCTTGGTCGGGCGGAGTCTTGTATATACTACGACTTCTTTGTGCATATATAGACTTGCATACTGTTTATACGAATCACTAAACTTTACCACTTATTTTCTCCTCGTTAAATCCCACGCGCGAGATCTCTCCAGTTGCCTACATTGAATGTTGAGAGTTTGACAGGTGCATCTCAATTCCTTCTGAAGCCCACATCGTACGACTTCGACTTCCTTGCCCTTCGTTCGAAGTAGCGTGGCATATACATGATCTCGTTGTATCGACCAAAGGCCGCTGTAAACATATCCCCGCCTCGTACATGACAGTCGTGAGCCACCTCACGCATCCGGTCCCTCCTCATCCCTTCCCACTACCACCTCAAAGTTCGCTTCATCCACCGACTTCCAGAACTCCGCATCGCTCTGCCTAGCCTTTAACTCCTCAAGACACAACCCCGTGACTGTAGGCCCCATCAAGATCTCTACACACTGCAGCCTCGGCCAATGGTTCTCGGCCTTCTGCGCGCCAAAGAGATCCTGTAGCCACCTGCTTTCTAAGAATGCCAAGTCAACGTCAAAGACCTTGAGGTGCTGTAAAGAAGTTGGAAGAGCTTGCGTCGGTGAAAGTTCGAAGTCGCCTTCAAAGACGGCGTCGAAACGCATGTTGTCGAGCTTGATCGATATGAGCGCTGCTTGAGGAATGACCAGTTTCTTGAGTTGCGCAAATTGGTCGAATCGCGGTAAAGGTTTGCGCATCGCGCCTGGCAATGTCCAGAAGCCGCCTGGTAGCTTCAGGGTTTCGAGGTTTGGTCGCAGATGTATCATGCCGTCCACGAGGTTCTGGTAGTCGGTGACTTCGCTCCGCGCATCGTATATCGTTCGATCCCAGTGCTGCTCATCTACGTAGACATCATCCTCAAGAGGAGACGGCCCGGTAGGATAGTATTGGATGTTTGCCTGATAGGCAGGAAACGCGCGGACACTCCGATACGGGTTCTTACTGTCCGACGGTTCCGCGTAGTATTCGAGTGATTGAATATTGGGAAAGGCGCGGAGAACGTTCGTCATACACGCTCGAGAAGTGGTATTCCATACGCCGACCGTTCTGACCTCGAAGTCTAGACGGAGATGTCGGATCGTTGGCTGTGCACAATGGCTGCTTAGGTAGTGCTCGGATGCCATGCGAATTTGCGAGTGTATTTGGCCTTGAAGTCTGATGCTCAGGTCGAGGGTGTGCAAATTGGGATAGTGCTCCAAGCCACCCCCTAATAGCGGCGGTAAGGGACTTTCGTACTTCAAATAAGATAGCACATGCGCGGTCGGTAGCTTGAAAGCAAATCTCTGCCAACGGCGCGTGTCTTGGAAATGCGGCTCAGCGAGGGTAAGATTTGACTCTGGGTCGAATATGCACAAGGTCGCTATATTTGGTAACAGAGCTAAGAACACGGAAGCCGAAGCACGTGCAAATGTGCCTTTCAGTTCTGCAATTTTCCCTGTCTTCCACCAAACAGGTAGGTCGAGGGAAGCGACGATCTCACACGCCTTCTCGTAGACAAGATAGTTCACGTGAGGCTCTACCGGACCTCGTCCACTGAACTTCATGATACCACGATCTTCCGACGGTAAGCATAATCTCAGCTGCTTTATATGTCGTTTCCATTCCGGTCGTGCTTGCAATCTCCAGATCAGGCCGTAGATGTCCGAATTGGAAAGCTCATTCAATGTTCCTGGGAAGCCGACCTCGAGCACGAGCGAAGAGAGCAGTACTTCGCGAGCCAGAACCGTGAACCTCTTACACGTCAACGCAATGTTGAGTAGCGAGCGAGAATTAGCGCGAAAATCGGAAATGAGATACTCGTCTGGAGAGCTTGGAGGGGGGTCATCTGGAATATAGCCCAATACACGAATGGAACGATACAAATCGACATGCGAAAAGACCTGGAGTAGTATTTCGTTGGGCAGAGTACTCAGCGAGCTGGTGCTGTCGCCTGGGAAGCGTTAGATGATGACGTATGTGACGCGGATGTTTGGCACGCTCACTTCTGGATGTTTGAAGCGGCAGCAGCCCTTCCATTGTTCAGAGCCGTTCTCTAGATGTACCAATTTGATGAAGTACAGGGTGATTGAGATAGCCTGGATTGCAATGCTGCAGGTGCTCGCTGTGCCGCACAGCGCATGTCATTAACGCTAGTCCCAATTTAGCATGGCGGTTTTCCACGGCTCGGGCGGCCGCATCCATCTGGCCTTCCATCATCCAGGCGCGCGACATCGAATTACCACTGGGAGTACAACACTTCAGTCTGCATCACTTAGCAATGGACGGGGCGGAAAACCGGATGCGCTTAGAAAACTCTGCACCCCAAGATGCTGGGGGCTGGAATTTGCTTTTGTCGATGCGTGCCTCAGACAGCGATTTGTCGCGATCGCGACGCGACGCGTGGCGGGGAAGGACCCAGCAATATCTTCGCGCACCGCCAGAAAGCTGTCTCTACCCATTTACGATCTATGGTAGCGAAGACAACACACCCAGAATATCTCCCCCGAAGTTCCACTTAGTAGAGACGGACAGGCTGCACACTCAGATACCCATGTACTGAGGTCAGTTCGGTTGGAATAGACGCAGTTACACAACTACAATGGCGGCCAACAACCTACGAAGCGTTTACCAGCAATACAAGCACGATACGGATGTCGTGGCATCATGGCGTAAGTTGCGGCCAGACTTACGAGAGATGCACGCGCTAATCTCCCTTTTCTGTAGTCGCGTCTACAGCCAAGTCATTTGGCTACAACAAGCCCCTCGAACCGCCTGCTCCTACGGAACAGAAGACGCAAAGGCTCAAAGGCAAAGCCAGAAAAGCCGGCAATACTACGCAGAGTGGATCAGACAAGCAGACGTCCAGGCCGAAATACACCCTTGCTATCAAGGACTTCGTACCTTTGTCTGCTCACATTGCTAAGGTCAAAGGCACTGTAGAAGTGCCGGACTACTTCAACGTTGCACTTGATCGGGTGATATCGGTTCGAAGTGCTTTCTCGCACAAGCTGGCAGCTGCCGGCGAAGCTGTCGACAAATCGTCAGATGACCGTCACAGCTTTTTTGTCACTGTCCTAGAAAGTGTTCGCGATGCACTCAAGCCTTTGATGAGAAACGATGCTCTCGATCTCAACAGCATCAAGAATGCTAAGCCTCGGAGTGATAAAGACCGAGTCAGACAGACTGGACTTCGCAACATCTTCGAGGTTTTGGATATATATGAGCCATCGGCGGAGTTCTTGGCTGCACCAGACGTGGTACCTCCACCTAAACCTATGAAACTGGATTACACTGCTGAGGTGTTGACCGACTCCGTCATTGATGCCTTTATGGCAATGACCATGTTGATGGACGACCTCTCCCGCCTTCGTGCTGAGATTGCAGACCTATGGGGTCGGCACCATGCGGGAGAACTCGATTTGGCAACTGTGTCGGTAGCGACCAACACAGCAATTCAGCTTGCGCACAGCATGCACGACGAAGTTTATCCAGTGATGAAGCATCTCGTCGAAAGCGTGCCGTTCCATGAGGTGTACTTTCTGGCTATCGCTAAAGAAGCTGGTGTTGACCCACAAGCGAAAGGTTGGTTCGGCTGGTGGAACGACTACAACTTCGAAGCCTACGACATCGCAGACGCCCTGTTCAACAACGCCCGTAATGGCCTCCTGGTCTACCTTTACAACGATCTCTCCGCGTCCGGGTCAGTCATGGACTACAATGGCAAATGGGGTCGATTCGATGAAAATGAGGGTCCACCACCCAGAACGAACAAGCAAAAGTATGCCCGCGATAAGTCGACGTTGATGGAAGTGTTCCAAGATCTTCCCTTGCTACACAATCATCCGGGAGCGGTTGAGGATCAGTTTGTCATCGCCTTCGAGGCAGCGCGGAAATCCTATGCAAGGGAGAATACGAACAAGCAACCACCAATCTGGTCGTGCTTTGCATTCCATATATATCTCGACATCATTTACTCTACCGAGGTTGGTGCGGGCTGGACGCAGATGCGCAACGAGTTTACTACGCTCCAGAAATACGTTGAGACATACCCTAGAGCTTCTTCCGACATGAAGGAATTGGTAAAATCGGTCGATAAGATCATGGAGGTCGATCCCATCGCGATCATCCGATCGGCGTTTACTTTTCCCTACAAGGACTATACCGTATGGCGTCGCAACCCCACACATTGTGGTCTTTGGTAGGTCCTGACTGTACGAAATGCATGTGAGACATAGACTGACCTTGTGCCTTTATTTCTGCAGGATTCACTATGCGCGAAACGTCTTCCATAGAGAAGCTGTCAAGTACGCCGCAACACCCGGGGCGGTCATGTGCGTAACGCAATTATACCATGCCCTGCGCCAGACTGAGCTTCTTTCGGAAGAGTGGAAGGATCTTCAGACGCTGTGGGACATGCAGGGAAATTCGGCTTACTTCATTGGCGAACCCCCTAAAGACTTTGAGGGACATTGGAAGAACTTTCTCATGGCTATTGGTGCTTCAGCAACTAACTGGGCAAGCTCAAAGAGGAATACGAAGGTCAAGGAGACCAAAGCAAACGCACGTTTGTTGAAGTTCAAGGGTCCAGTATCGGCCTGGATGGCTTCGCGTATTTCAACAAATGGCGACGAACGACTCATCACAGCTGAAACAATTGAAGACGAGATCAAAGAAGGCGCACGCCATCATTCCTCCCTCGCCGCCGTCATGCCGGCCATTCAAAGGCAAACCCACGTCATACAAAAATTGGCCACTGCTCTCCACGCCGAGGCTCCAGAAATCACGTTCGATTACTTCACCATGCATGACCTTTGCTGGGAGTTGATGGAAAGGATGAAGGAGCAGTTCAGTCCTATCATTGCTGCCAAATCTGGGAAGCAGTGGGAAGCACATAAGAGCAACCTGCCGTTTGTTGTTGGCTTCGTCTTCTCTACGGCAGCGGGTAAAAAAGATATCGAGACGGACGGTGTGCCTTCGGTAGAGCTGTTAAAGATCGCTGTGCAAGTTACGGGGAAGTTCTTGGAGGAAGGTAAAGGTAATGTGATTACCAAATCAGGACGCCTGGAAGGTCAGTTCGAGTCAGCTGGGACAGAAGAAGTGGAAATGTGGAAAGCCAAAGTGAGAGACTCTCTCACCTCGAAGGTCTTCGCGGTTTAAAGTACGTAGAACACCGCTTACCTTCGTATGGCCTTTTCCTTCAATCGCTTCTTATCGCTACTAAACTATCCATTGCTTTCCATGACACCTTCTCAAAGATCACCAACCCAGAAGATATGACGCCAGCTCCGCCTACAACTCCCCATGCCTGCTTCGTCTGCAAACAGCCTGCTGAACAACGCTGTTCCACCTGTAGCAATGCACGCTATTGCTCTACCGCATGCCAGAAGAAAGACTGGAAGATGCACAAGATGCTTTGCAAGTCCTTCGCAGATCTCGAGCCCCGACCTGGTCCATGCTTCTTTCGCGGTCTCCTCTTCCCCGAAGATGAGCCCTTGCCAAGATTTGTCTGGGTTGAATACGGCAGCGTTGAGGTTTCCGCAACCATCTCCTGCGAGCCCTTCTTCGGCAAGAACATACTCGGTTGGGTGATTCAGGAACAGCCTTATCTCAAGCGCATACCCCCGCACCGCCTCGGTATCTACTACAACGACAACTACATTGGTCAAGGCTTGCCCGCGACCCCGAGTTTGACTAAGTGGCTGGGACCAGCTATAGGCGAATACTTTCGTGGACCCTGGCTCGCACACGCCTACGAGAACGGCGTTATGTTTGACGAGGAGTGGGAGTCCGAGATGGGTAGACCATGCGATATTGATACAGCGGCATTGGCTAGTCTCTTGGGATATTTCGAAGGTCAGGGTGCGGATTACCATGCGAGAAGCAACTTTCGCTGAGGGTTCACTCACCCGATGATCATTTGATTATTGGGTTGCGATCTGATAAGATCAAGGACCAATTGGCCTGGAGTAGGACCGAGCATGGGAGAGCTATCGGGTTTCGCGACACCTATGGAAGAACATGATCTTGCAAGCGTATGGCGGCCTGTCTCATAGAGATCTTACCGGGGTACTTCATTTCTTCTATTTCACGACATTAGTTTGCAGCCTCGAGGATGCGCGTTCTGATTACTGGCGCAACGTGGGGCAGGCAATGCCGTCACAGGTTGACTTTAGCACCTGCTGAATTGAGCCAAGCCCCGCACTATCTGCATAGGGCGTGCCGGCGGCTATCATAGGTATACAGCATCTTAGCAAAAGTTCTGAACCCCTCAAACTTGTGTCTTCAACTCCTATCACTCTTGATAACTCGACATTGGCATCATGACGTTCGATATTTCAAAAGCTCGGGAGCGCTTCCCCGCACTTCAGCAAGATCAGGTCTTCCTTGACAACGCCGGTGGCAGTCAGGCACTGGGCGACGCGATTGACTCGTGAGTTAATTTCTAGATCGTGGATACATATGATGACTCATATGAATACAGAATAGTACAATACCTGTCCAAGACCAATGTTCAGCTTGGCGCTTCATACCACACCGGCACGCAGTCGAACACGAAGTACGAGGAGGGCTATCAAGCAGCCGCAAAGTACATGAATGCTGGCCGCGATGAGATCGGTAACGAAACCATCAGATTCATTCACACCTGGGCATCCTGTTGCTGACGATGAACAGTTCTCGGTGCTTCAACAACACAACTCTTCATGAACCTCGGCTCATCCCTGCAATTCCCTGCGGGTTCAGAAATCATCCTCTCAAAGATGGAGCACGAGACTAATGCGAAGCCCTGGCTTTTCATGGCTGAGCGTCTTGGGTTGACTGTGAAGTGGTGGGCGTCTCCAAAGGAGGATGGACTCAAACTCACAGCCGAGAACCTCAAGCCGCTGTTGAGCGACAAAGTGAAGTTCGTAGCATGCACGCACGTGAGCAACATTCTGGGGACGATCCATGATGTGAAGTCTATTGCAGAGGCGGTGCATTCGGTTGGCGCGCTGTTCTGCGTGGATGGAGTTAGCTACGCGCCGCATCGTGCGATTGATGTTAAGGATTTTGGAGTCGATTTCTACGCATTCAGTTGGTACAAGGTCCGTCCGGCATCTACTCTACCCTCTTGTTACCATGGTACTAACAAAATGACATAGGTCTACGGCCCACATATCGCGGTTAGTCGACATAAAACTTTGCGAGCTATATTTGAGACGAATGCTGACTTCGTACACATCTTTAGGCCCTCTACGCCAGCAACTCAGCCCAACAGCACATGAAGCCCCTATCTCACTTCTTCAACCCTACCAAAACTCTTGAAGACAAGATCGGGTTCGCTGGCTCGAACTACGAATGCGTACAGTCTATTCCAACGGTCACCGCCTACCTCACCGACGCTTTCCCCGCCATCACTGAGCATGAGGGAAAGCTGCAGGCTATTCTTCTCGACTTCCTGAACTCACGACCAGATGTCACGGTCCTGGGTTCTACCTCGAGCGATAGCAAGGAAAGAGTACCAACGATCTCGTTCACGGTCAAGGGCATGAGCAGCAAGGCGATCGTGGCTGAGGCGGAGAAGATTAGTAACTACGGGTTTAGATGGGGACATTTCTACTCAAAGAGGCTTTGCGATGAGTTATTGAAGCTGGAGCCAGAGGGTGTGACAAGAGTCAGTATGGTACATTATAACACCGAGGAGGAGATCAAGGGATTGGTCGAGGTGTTGAAGAAGGTTCTTCCGCAGGCTTAGAGGAAGACGTGGCGCTGAAACGGAGATCTTTGGTAGGGAATTGTGCATTGGTATCCGTTGTAGTAGCAAAATCTGACTGGGAAAATGGGCTACGCCCCTACCGAATTGCCACCAAAAGGTACCACGATGAAGGGAAGTCATCCAGAAAGATCCCATCGCCAGTAAGAGGCCTTCCAGGCTTCTTCTTCCAGAAACTACTCATCAGCTTCCCAGTAGTTGAGTGCCGCCTTTGAGCACATCAACTCTCCACATCCCAGGGCGCAGGCGTTTTCCATAGATACAAGGCGTGTTGAGCAGATTCCGCATATGTGAAATGCGATCTTCTGGTACCGAGACCTGAAGCATTTCATCAATAGGAGATGGACACTCGGCTGAAACTGCGTTCAAGTTTTCAGCAAGAGAAAACCAGTCACCGACGGGGTGTCCTAGAACGAGACTGCTGTCGTGCAACATGATGTGCATACTGAACGTTCCTTGACGCAAAGTAAGGATCGCCCGCTTGAAGAACTCGAACATGGCAGCCGTGCTGTCGCGATGTTCCGTAGCGCCTTCCCAGTCATTGACGAACACTTCCTCGATCCACTGATGAAGACTAAGCAGTGTCGATCGGTGCATTTCGTTGGATGTGCTATGTTGCTCATTATCCTCCTTCCGAGCTCTCCGGAACCGGTACGCGAGGTCACCCATCAAATCTGCGATCCGATATAGGTACTTTGATGTATCGGCTGGGCTGCTGTTCGCAGGAACCTTGACGATTAATGATGGACGTCTCTTCAAACGGCCGCGCTCTATGATGGGGTAGGCTTCTTCGCGAACTAGTCGACTGACTCTCAGTATGCCCACAGAAGGCTTCGCATGGTGTATTTGAAAGTGAGGCCCGACAAGTGATCGAGCTACTGGCATGGCCACCAGCTGATCATAGACGCAAAGACGTACATCGGCGGGTAATCGCATGAACGCAAAGGTATTGGATCTAGTATCGCTGGTGACTGAAGCCTTCATGTGGTCATGCGCAGCGTGCGAGGGCTTGTCGGTGTCGTCGAGTGGGGGTGAAGTTGTTTGGCGTGTTTTTCTTTTCTTCGATTGGCGCGTAGAGGAGCAGTAGTGGGCATCGCCAGTCTCATCGCAAACCTTCCAATAGTTAGCAATGCAAGCACTCAGTTCACATTCTTGGAACATACCATCTTGAGGAGATTTTCGCCCGTAACAGAAGGCTGATCTGCATCGGTACCTGGAGCAGCAGGAGCCTTTGGCAAGCTTGTCCCGATGAGTGACATGTTTGGTGCTTTGGTAGTCATTGCGATATTGGTGGGTCGGTCGTGGTGCAGTATCGGTGGTGAGGAAGGGCGGGTGTGCGAGTCTGAGAACTAGCGCCACTGGTAACTTCCCTAGGTAGTCATTTCCACGTTCGCCTGTACCACCGCAGTAGCGCACAGACTCAACTAAATAAGCTCGAGCGTTGCAGACATCAATGCATGCATAGCAAAAGCACACTGCGAAAAGACCAGTCATCTTACTAATTATCAACTGCCACCAACTCTATGCTTCCAGGTTTCGCCAAACAGCCGTCTCAAATCTTGCGACAAGATCGAACGTCTTGCGATCTGCCCAAGGTGACACCTGCGTCGCAAAGAACAGCGCGATTCCCCTCTCACGATTGACACTCCACTGTAGATTCGGAAGTCCTGACCAGCACAACGTACCCTTTGGCTTGAAGTAGTTCTCTCGATTCACATCTTCCATCAGCAACAGACTACCCAGTCCGAAGTTCGGTTTGACGCCTTCCATACTGGCGTCCAACGTGCAGGTATAAGCGAGCTCGGCGTTATCGACGAGTGCCTTGGCCGCGAGACTGTCTTCGGCGAACTGTGGGCTGAACATGGCGTCGACCATGGTTTTGGACAGAATGATAGGCGAAGGTTTGAGGAGATCGGAAAGCACGCGCGTGTAGTCGTACACATTGGCATACAAGCCCGCTCCACCACCTTCTCCAACAGGGTCGCCAGACCAAAAGGGTGTTGGGCCATCTGTGAGACTACCGTCGTCCTGCCGAGTGCTCGTGCGCATCAGCTTTTCTTCCACTGCGGGCTTGCGATTGAGATGCCAGGTGAATGAAGTTATACCGAGAGGCTTTGCAATGTTGATTTCGACATATTCTTCGAAACTCATGTTGGTCAAACGTGTGATGAGCAAACTGGTCCAATCGAAACCACCGCTGTATTCCCAGCCTTCTCCAGCTTCGAAGGTCCGTGGATAGGCATACTTCTTAGCCACGTTGCCGTCGGTTATTAGAGCGGGTAGTTCGCCGCGTGAGGCCCTCCACGCGTAAAGACTTGGAGAAGCCCAGTCTACAAGTTGGCGAAATCAGTCCATGCTGTGTGCTGTCCGTCTAGAAACACTTACCGTACGTCGTGCCACTGGAATGCGTGATAAGTTGACGCAGCGTAATGGACTTCGTGGCTGGACGCACTTTGATCTCGGAGCCGTCCATCTGAACGATGGGCTGGGAAGCCAGTTCTGGTAAGTACTGATCGACTGGTCCATCTAGCGTGACTAAACCGTGTTGAACGCTTTGCAGGGCAGCAATAGCAGTGATGAGCTTTGTGCAGGATGCGATGAAGAAGGTTTGATCAAAGTCCATAGGCTCCGCATCTTCAGTGACGCCATTGTAACCTGCGGTCTTCTTGTAGATGAATTTGCCTGCAGCGCGCGTGAGATACACTCATTTGGAGATAGTATCAGGGAAAGTACCATCCTTATCGACGACAGCCATCACCGCCCCGGGCACAATGTCCGAGCCTTTGGCAGTCGCCTTCTCGAGGTATTTCTCAAATTCGTCCATTGAAAAGGAGTAGAAGCAAACAATCTTGATCGAGTGGCCGCTTCAGTAATCTTCGAGGAGTTCGAGTTGTTCTGTGGGCGTTTCGTCCTGGTAAGATGACGACAACTATTTATGCAGTTGCTATTAGGCCACCATCCTTCGCTGACTAGCATTCATACCGCATTCCAAGCCACAAGACAAGGTAGCCGTGATTTGTAATGAGCGTTAGCAAACCTTCATGTAGTTGAAGGGTGGGGGCGAAGACTTATGTCCAATCGCCGTGCAGCAAAAAAGCATCGAAGCCATTGGTCTCGTGAAGCCAGCCAACTTTGCCTGTAGTGTCCGTTCTCGTATCATGTCGAGTCTACTGTGGCGACCACGGGCAAGAGGGGTTCGCCGCCAGGCAATGTGTGAAAAACGAACCGATTTAGTCCCCTCATCAGTCGTCTGCCTCCTCTTCCAGAGAGTCCTGTCTGCTCTTGGCATGCGCCATGTGCATCCCGTATCTGCACCCCATGTTTGTACAAATTGCCAAATCGGGGAAGCAGTCTGAGGGTATGTGCAGACAAGCAATGTCGCTCTTTGCTCACACCGATCATGTCCTTCTGTGTGACGATAAGTGAAGTACAGGGCGAAGATGACATACAAACGGGCTAAGGCGATCGGAGAAAAGTTGTGCCGACTCTGGGAAAAGGTCACACCCTGTTTGGAAAGCTGTCATTCTACGAACGACAACACTTTTGACGTCATCCTGAGAGGTCGCATTGTTGGAAGCACACCAGCCGGACTGGATTGGAGCAGGTAGACGTCTGCGCTATGTTCTTCGCCGCAGCGAGGCTGGTGCAGGGTCTAAAGGGACGTGTCTGGAAGCTCGGACGAAACACGGTTGACGCTCGGGCCCTCTTGCTTTGACATCTACCCCTGCATCCTCTATCTCACACTCGATGTCATCTCCCCTCGCATCTCATCTTATGTATACGACATTCTCGCAAATCTTCACGCTCGGTAAAACTCACGACACCACGGATAGCCACCGGCAATGACGACGTCGATCACTCAGCCTGTGTCCAGTCGGAAGAACTCAAGCCGAGCTGCACCAATGGGAAAGAGCGTTGCGAAGCCGGTCCGACGACCCCAAACTTGGTGCGGTGATTACCCCGGGTTTTCAATGTAAATACGGCGTCTTGAGCGGTAGCGCACTTCCTGAGAGGGCTATGTGGGGTAATTGATGAACATGTTACAATAGACAAGGTTCTCCAGAGATGACATGCGCCACTCGAAATAGCGCAATGCCCATTGCTGGTATAAATGCTCCAGGGCATCGTCGCTCGATTCACAAGCACATTCATTGCATACGCCAGCCACCATGCGCTTCTCTTCAGCTATTGCGCTCGCCAGCTTATTGTCTCGGTCGGCCGTGGGAAGCCCACTCGCCAGCAACGAGCTTACCAGTCGGGCTACAACGTTCAACAATCCAGTCTTGTGGCAAGACTATCCCGACCTCGACGTCTTCCGGATAGGCGATGTGTTCTACTACTCCTCCTCGACTTTCGCCTTCTCGCCAGGAGCTCCGGTCCTAAAGTCTTACGACCTCGTTAATTGGACACCAGTAACTCATAGCGTACCAAGACTTAACTTCGGCTCGATATACGACCTCGATAACACAGCAGGCCATGCTTACGTCAAGGGCATCTGGGCCAGCTCACTGAGATACCGCGAATCGTCCGACAAGTTCATTTGGATTGGTTGTGTTCAATCCACCGGGAAGTCGTACATATGGACTGCCGACGGGAACAATGCAGCCGCCAACAATGGCGAAGTGTCGAGCTGGAATTGGACTGCCGCGGGCTCATTCCCCAAGTGCTATTACGACAACGGGATCTTTATTGACGATGATGACACCATGTACATCGTGTACGACAAGTACCAGCTCAAGGTTGCCCAATTGAACGCCGACGGCACAGCGGAAGTCAGGAGTCAACAAGTCTATGAAGATCCAAATGGCCTATACCTCGAAGGTTCGCGCATGTACAAGATCAACGGCACATACTACATCTTTGCTACCAAGCCGGCCGATGACGAGTGGGTGTTGAAGTCAAAGAGTCCCTGGGGCCCATATGAGGCGCGAATCCTCGTCGACAGCATTGCAGGACCTTTGCTCAACGCAGGCAACAGCCACCAAGGCGGTGTAGTCGATACCAAAGATGGGAAGTGGTATTACGTTGCGTTTATGGACTCGTATCCTGGTGGACGCATTCCTGTCGCTGCGCCTTTGAAGTGGACGGCGGATGGATGGCCGGAAGTTGAGAAAGTGAATGGTGAATGGGGCAAGACATACCCTATGCCAGTCACAACCGCCAAGACCGTCCCCCCACCCACCGGCTTGGACAAATTTACTGGAACAGCTTTAAGTGCAGAGTGGGAATTCAACCACAACCCTGATACCAGCAAGTGGAGCCTAGTAGGCGGGGCTGGTGGCATCAAGTTACAGACTGCTTCTGTTACGAATGACCTCTACGCGGCGCGCAATACGCTGACACACCGTATCCTTGGCCCGAAGTCATCGGGAACTTTCAAGATCGACATCAGCAAAATGGCCACTGGCGACCGTGCTGGCGCTGTACTTTTCCGTGACACCGGAGCATACATCGGTATACATAAAGAAGGCTCTGCGGCAAAGTTGGTAATGGTCAACGGCTTGGAATTGAACGCAGACCGAACGACGAAGTCTACCGGTACTGTCGCTGCCACGGGACCTAGTCTTGCTGCCGGCACAACCGATCTGTGGTTCCGCGTTCAGTCAGACATCACGCCAGCTTTCTCCAACACCAACGCGGTGCGACAAACAACTTTCTGGTACAGCACTGATGGCACCAAGTTCGTGCAGCTTGGTCCTGCATACAACATGGCGAATACATGGCAGTTCTTCACGGGATACCGATTCGGTGTGTTCAACTTTGCGACAAGCAAGCTGGGTGGGGAGGTCCTGGTTAAGAACTTCGAGTTGAAGTTGGTGTAGATTCAATGTGTACTGTTACGATAAGGTGACGTTATCGATGTTACAGCCAGCCTGCTTCACAAAAATCTACAAACAACATCACCGTCGCATCGTCGTCTGCAATCTGAGGATGTATTCATCGGTGAAGTTACGGACCGGAGATAAGGAGATATGACACAGCTTCTGATATCGTCACCGCAACATCCGCTGCTGTATCTCCACATACCACGGCACGTGCAAACAGCGTTTGTACGTCTACAACCAAACAGCACTCGGTACTCACAGTTACCCCAATATATTGACGCGTCACATTCATAGATCTCCAGAGTTATTCCCATGCTACCCGTGACTCCACACTATCACAGTAGCACGCAATCACGCAATAACAGACAGTCGGCCCTGCTTGCATATAAGCTCTGGCATCATCACTCTCCATCACCTAGGTCGAGGACACTCGCCATTTATAACTCATACCGGTGACTCATAGAGACTGCATCACTCTCTACACTCTTTCATATATCTCCAAGGTCAAGATGGGCAACACGTACCACCATCATAGCGAAGAAAAGAAGCCTTTGAAGTGGTTTGCTTCGCCTTTGGTCGAAGACCATGTCAAAGACGACGGCGAGAAGGAACATCAAAGCCCAGCCATAACCCGAGAGAATACACAGTCGGTCCTCGATAGCGAGTTTCACGATCCTAATGCCGAAGCTGGTCTTCAGCTCGAGGTCGAGGTGTGCACGCAAGAGCTGCGTGACATGCCATCTTTCAAGCGCCATGCCGAAGCCACGAATCAAGAGTTGTTCTTCGATCTCTGTAAGCATTCTGGTCTTTCTACAATTTGAAGGTTTCTTGCTAACGACGCTATCTTTCAGTTTTCGTCGCCAACTTGACCACGTTCACTTCGTTGAAGGAGATCAACGACAGTGCCTCCCTGCGCGCCTACGTCGGGTTCTTCGCCTTGCTCTGGCTCACCTGGTACTCGAACTCGCTCTATGACGTTCGCTTCACTGCCGATTGCATCTTCGAGCGAATTGCCAAAGCCCTCCACTTCGGTGTTATGGTCGGGTTCGCTGTCGTCGGTCCTGCCTGGGAACCTGGAAAACCTACAAGCTCACTCCAGAAGTACCAAGTGCTTTCATTCATCCTCATGGTGTCTCGTCTAGTACTCGCGGCTCAGTATAGCGTCACTTTGTTCTTCGTGCGCAAACACAAAAGGACTGTCCTGCCGCTATCGCTCGTTATCGGCTCGACGCTCATCGCGGCATTAATGTACGGAAGCATTACTGGTGCTCTACCCAAGGAGACGTGCAACCTGGAGTTAGGTGTCTGCAAGCAGTTCACGACTAAAGTACATTACGCATGGTACATTATCAGCGCTGCAGAAATCGTCATCACTGTTGGCATCTCATGCTACTGGCGCGTCATCTCATTCAAGGGTACCCACATCGTACAGCGCATGTCGCTACTTACCTTGATCATCCTGGGAGAGGGAATCATCGTTGTCTGCAAAGCAATATCGAAGATCGTCAAGAATGGATCTCAGTTCGATACTCAGCTAACTGGCCAGATCGTCTCTTCGGTGTTGATAATCTGTAAGATACCAACCATCGACCTGGCTTCTCGAGCGTCACGCTAATACCTTTCAGATCTTCTGTACATGCTATACTTCGACCGCATGCACGAGGAACATTTTGGTACGATCAAGCAGCAAGTCTGGGCTTCACTCCACTTCTTCCTCCACATCATGCTCGTCCTCGTCCTCCAGGGCGTCTCTTACCTCATCATGTGGGTTGTGGCCCTCATTCGAATGGACCGTGTCGATGAGAAGTTCCGCGAAATTGAAGGACTCAGCTTGACTGGTGCCTATGCCAACGGCACCCTCTTCGCCGACGCGCTCCGTCGCAAGATCGACGTCTACCTGTGGAACACGATCCCAAAAGGCGTCGATGCGAGTAAAGCACTCGAGACCTGGAACAGCACTCTGACCGTCCTGGCGCAGAGTTTCGATAATCATCTGACGGACGAGCAGAACTTGACAGCTGTGGACATGATCACCAAAAGCTTGAACACCGCAGAGAGTATGGCCATCCAGACTTTGTTCGACAGCTTATCCATCTCGGTACCAAAGACGGCACCGAAGACAGTAGAAGAGCCTAAGAGAAAGTTCTTCGACAAGGCCGCGCTGCTTCAGAAATACGAAACGCGCTTCGAGCTTGTATTCGACTACGTCTTTCTATCCGTAAGTTAAGCCCCGCTCCTTCTCTATTACTCTTTACTGACATGCACTAGGCTGGACTTGCACTTACCTTCATGGCTATCATTGCCTTCGTCTCCCTGCCACCCGTAAAGCGCCATCTACGTCAATACGTGCGCCTTCTCACCATCGTTCTCATTGGCTTCGCTGTCTGTCTCATATGTCTCATCAATACGAGCAAGCCGAGCCAGAAGCATTACATGGAGAGCAACTGGATGTTGCCAACTATTTGTTTGCTCTTCTTCTTTTGCGTTTTGGTTAGCCATCTGAGGCCTCCAGCTCGGTGGAGAGGAATTGGAGGACACCACAAGTGGCACGGGGCTTAGTGGGTCTTCCAGATGCCTTATGATACACAAGATATCTGGAAAGACTGGGGGGGAAGGAGATGTAATATGAATTGAGCTTGCAGAACTGAACTGCGGACGTTACTTTGGTCTTTACAAAGACTTGGTCTAGATCTACATTCAACGAAGGTTTTGCAATTACATAGGGCTATCTAAAGCGGTTGCCGGAATACACATTATGCTTTTGAGATCTTGATCTCCAACCAGTACTGTAACACGAAGAAATTGTCAACTCTATCGGGTCGAGCGTTCATTCACACATCCGCACGGCTATTAATCCCGCCTTTCCTCCCTTCCAAAGGCCGGCCCTACAGTCTTTTCGTTGACCTCATCATTTGGGTCTCGGATCCCCAGAATTTCGGATGTCTTGCGCACAAGCGCAACATGCCCTCGTTCTCGACATCTGCACGAGCGCCATCGCAGCCTCCTCCATCTTGCGCCTTTCGATGATCCTCTCGATACCGTCATCGATCAAGTCAATTTGATGCAGTACTTCTTGACCAACCGCGTCCTTGTTCTAATGTAGTATTAGCCATGTCGCTCTAAGCCATGTAGCGCAGATAAGCTGACCATGAGTTCGCGTCTCAAGCCAAATAGTGGTTCCGGGACAGTTGTTGACACGCCATTTTGAACGGCTTGTAGTCGTGCTTTTCGCGCTCCCAGTACTTCGAGCCAGCCTGTTCTTTTCCTGATCTCGATCTCGCGACTAAGGCGCTGGGCCTCGGATATTGGCGGGGTTGGTGGTGACTGGATCCTACGGGTGCGCTTGGGTACTGCAAGATAAACTGGGGTTGTTGAGGGAGTGGAAGATTTTGTGTCGGACTTGGCGTAGTAGTAGGGCAGTACTCGGTACTGGTATGCGGATGAAAGATCATTTTCGTGCAACATCGTGGTGGCGAGAGTCAATTCTCGCATGCAACCCGGGATTAGAGTGCCAGGAACAGCCTTACGATCGTTGTGGACGCAGAGATTAGAATTTTATTTACATACAGGAAGGTGGTAGAGTCGCGACTTTCGTTTGCAGGCAGAGGAGCCCCTCCACGTAAGCCTTCCCTCTCACTGTAACTTCTCTCTCACCTGCAGCAACCTTGCACTATATCCATTCTGCCGCCTAGAATACCCGTCCCTTCGTCTGTTGCATCTTCGCCACATTGAAATTCTTGATCAAGAAAACCCATACCAAACAAAGTCCCATGATCGCTGTACCCGCGATCAGCATCCTTTTCTGTGCAATACCATATGCTTCCTCGATCGCTACCCTCGTCGCGCTACCCTTCGCATAGCTCAATTGCTCATCTAAGCTACCGTAAATTAGATCAAAGTTCTCCATAGCCTCAGCTGGCAGTAGATTCATTAGTGCCTGCGGGAAGGAGTTTGTCCAGATCGCGCCGGAGATGGTGGATCCTACCGCGCCGCCTAGCCACCCGAAGATGTTGAGAAGTGCGAGAACAGAGGCGACGTGTTGGTGATCTGCGGCGGCCATGACGGCGATCTGCTCGCAGAGAATGATGATGGAACCACCGATCGCGATGAAGACTTGGCACATGACTAGGTAGCCTACGCTGGTATTTGGGTGACGGAAGTAGATCATGAGACCTTGACCGAGGATATAGATCGGTACGGCGATGAAAAGAAGCCAGCGAAAGTAGCCGGTCTTACTGATGACAAGACCGACTGACAAGAGTAGTACACCGGAGAGGACGTCGAATGTTGAAGCGACGTACCCTGCTTCTGCGATTGTGAGGTTGGTGACGACCTGCAAGAATGAGGTGAAGTAGGAGTTCCAGGCGTAGTATGAGATCTGGTATGTAAAAGAGAGGAGACAAGCACCCAGAACCGAGCGGCTGGTCAAGAGGTCGAAAGGTAAGAAAGGTTTTCCCGCTGTGAAGCGCTCGTGGAGGCCGAACGCGATCAGTAGCACGAAGCCAATGACTAACATCGCGATGATGTACCCCGTAGACCATCCGTTGGGTGCTGAGTCGGCGAGAGTAAATGGGAGGAGAAAGATGACGAGACCGGCGGCCAGCAGGAAGGCTCCCGGAACTATAGAGCTGTTAGCCTGCCTTCATCAAAATTCTCCAGAGTAGAAGACACTGACCATCAAATTCGCGGATATGGAAGACGACGCTCTGCAAAAGGCTCCTGTCACTCGCCTCCCTTGCAAGGACGCCGTTTCTTCTCGCCTTCCGCAGGTTGAGCTTCAATAGCAAGAACAGTGGTGCAGCGACAAAGGGCAGAATGATTGCGAAAGTACCGAAACCCCAACGCCAGTTGATGTTGTTGTAGAAGCCCTCAGCCGCCTTTGGACCAGCAAACGCTGTGATAATGTATGGCGAAGACGTGAATGCGAAAGCCAAACCTCGGTGTTTCAGACTACTCGAATCCGCTGTGATGACGTCCACACAGTAAGTCATACCACCGAATCCAATAGTGTAGAAGACCTGCGCAGCACAGTACGTCGCTAGATTTGTAGATGCAGCCATTATGATCAAACCGAGGGTAGCGAAGCACACCATTGTAGCGAAACCTTCGGCACGACCCCAGAGATCGAGCAGCTTGGCGGTTGGGATGTATACGGCTGCAGCCATGGAGTTCGAGACGATGGTAATGACGGTGATGAGGGAATGTTCTTCGAATCCGGATGTTACGTAAGGTGTGAGGTTCGAGGTAATGGATGACTGGAACGCATTCGTGAGGTACAAGAGCCACATGCTTGGGGTTCTGTCAGTCTCATCGTCGATATATGGTTGGAAGTTCTAGCGACGTACCATAAGAATGCGCATGCTAGAGATGTCTTGGTCCACGCCAAAGTAACAGCCTCGACTTCCCTGACACCCTCCTGCGCAGAGACAGAAGGCATGTTAGCTTCCTCAACCTTGCGAATCGCATCTTCTTCGTCAACATCGACAACATCAATGCTCTTTTGCCTCGTAGGCTCGGTGCCAGGCTGAACAGCAGCAATAGAATCCATGGTAGGCGTTTCTCAGCGATTTGATAATCTGTCTGCAGGAATCGAACGCAACGCAGTCTTCCAATCGCGCAGGGCATGGAAGATCAAATACACTGGTGCGACTCTGGATCCTGCACGGCAGCAACAGCTAAGCGTGATACTCGTGTGGGCCGACATACCCAAGCCAAAGCTTCTTGCGCAGGACGCCTTGAACTAGAGTTTGTCCCGGAGCTTGACCACGACGTCGCGACAGCAAGACTAGACGGCGAACACGAGATGTTGGGTAAGGGCTTAGCCATGACGGGTACGCAGTCAAGGGGTACTAGCCCTTCGAAGCATGGTGTTGATGGGATAATCTTATCAGATGGGTCCTTTCGGCGGGTCCAGAGACGGCTTGAACCCCATCTTCGGCTCTTTTCCGGTGGTACGAGCTTTACACCCGCAAATGATCTGTTGAAGTCGACATTGCGGCTGACGGTCTCAAAAGGAAGTCGTGTTGTGGCTGGCGAAAATTTGCGCGTGGTTCGATGTTTGGGTGGAGAACATCCAATATGAGTTTGCTTGATCTTATCTTATCTTGATCTAGATCAGCTGCTAGGCGCGTGCGCGTCGCGTCCGACCTCGGCGCGCCTCATCACAGCTACTCACCCTTGCACTTCATTCAATCTCATCGTCTTCATCATGGTGTTACGTGTGATACATTGGTTCTACATGAAGATGCCCTTACGAACTTATGAGCCACTTTAAGAAGCTATAGATCCGAGAAGAAGAATTGGGTATATAAAGCAGCCGAAATCTGGTAATTCCCCTCTACCAGTGTCCACCGAAAGCGTAATATGAAATGTATACGAGCCACAATATTTTAGCAGCTAGTGAGTGGGCAAGACGGCTCTAATAATCGCAATGCCCTCCTCTTCCGCATCTGACCAGACTTGCGCGGCTTCGACCCAATCCCGCTGTCTCAATGCAACTGCGCGCAGTGCAGCATGATGCCCCTCACGTTTACGAACTGTCAGGGCATCCACCCAAACCAGAGTGCGGTAATCAGGGTCTACAACTTCGATCGTCTCTAGGCCCAAGGGAAGCGAGTCGACCGAATCAACCCTATGACTCATTTGTACGCTGCACAGCGCTTCATTCGGGATGCGTAGCCGCTTCAGTTTGTCAAACTTATGATTGCGCAGCGAAGTTGCAATGGACCGAGCCCGTGTCGATACGCTCTCATCCGTAAAGGGTACCTCGACATCAATAAACAACTCTTCAAGCGTTGGCGCTGCGTGTTTCAGAGCTTCGATGATGTTATCCCAACCTAGGTCGTCTCTATCCTCAAAGTCAAGGTGAGAGTGCCGTTCAGGGTAAGAGAGAAATACTGATATCTTCTGAAGCGCTGGCAAACCCTGCAAAAGATCGTGGAGGTATTCGCTTCTGATGCACCTCCTGCCATCGAGCATTTGAATGGTCATCTCAAGATGTATAGAAGTGATGCTGGTAGAAATGACAGCGGGTACCGGGGCTGCGATGGGGTTCGCTCCCAAGTAAGTATCCCATTTTAGTTCCAATGACGTTAGATTTGGCCCTCGAAAGAATTCAAAGCCTGTGATCTCTTCACAAGACAGGTGTTGCAAACCAGCAAGACCACTAACGGCGTTGTCGCCAACCTGACTGCTTTGAGCACCAAACCAGTCTTGGACCGTTGTCTCGGTGATTCTTGGCCGTACCTTACCATGCTCATCCGGGCCAAATGGTTCTTGGTAGGTTTGCATGTCGAGCGTTTCCAGGTTGGGGAGCAGACCGAGGATGAGGCCACCGAGTGACGGCTCGAAATAACATGCAGGCATCGTCTGTCCGTCGATCTTTCCGTCGATGGAAATCTCTTTCTCACCCTCAACTTGAGTGCAAAGCTTATAATCGGAGCCCACTCGGCGATCTATATCAGCTTTGAGGTTCTCCAGACCGTGCACGCATTGTTGATCTTGACATTCTGACACATCGTGGTGCAGTCGCTTCGTGACTGGAAGCACGAGATGATGCACGAAGTTCGCGAGTTTCGCGTCCTTGATCAATGCACGCAGGAATTGCATAACGGCACCATGATGATCAAATCCGAGGGGAAGGATAGGCGCATGGTAAAGAACCTCCTCGGCGACGGGTCGGTATTTCTTCGCAACACGTGCGAAACCTGCTAGAGTAGTCTGGTCAGCTTCATTGGAGGTAATTCTGTGGAGTATGTTGAGTATCAGCTCATCTGGCAGATCATCCAACTTAGCCATTTTGACGTAGTGCACTGCCTGTGGCAGGCTCGAGAGTGGTAAGGCGTGAGATCAGGATCAGTTCGACTGGTATTTCGTTAGACCAGTATATGTAGCAGGAATATTGCTCGCCGTCTGTGTACGTGACCCATGCCTTGTTCATAAACGTTGTGAACTACTGCTTTGGGTGCTGACAGAAGGAAAGCACTGTGCTAGATTAGCCGACGTGATGACGTTGAACTTTGAGGAAGAGATCAAAACAATGTCACTCAAGACATGAGGATACATGAAGCTCGATCGTTACGGTCGCTTAGATCAACAAAGTTTTCTCTACTTGAAGTCCTTCTCACTCAATGAATCCTCCATCTTCTGTATCCTTTCCCAAGTTTCACTCCACTTTTCCCACTCGCCATCAGGGAGCTTACCCTTGAGGGGCAGCCTTCCGCCCTCCATTGTGCCAAAACCGGTGACCCTTTTGACTGCCTCTTTGATGCCCACGATACCATACTTGCCGATGAACTCCTCTGCAGTACTAACGGTGTATTGCAGCTCCTTCATCTTCTTGAGGTTCTCATCGGTGATCGGCCTTGTCTCCGCCAGCTTCATCAACGAGCAAACGGTCTTGGGGTATATGGCTGCGAGACCATCGATGACACCTGCGGCATCGAAGATGACGATGGGACCGAGTTGTTGGCCGAGGCCAGAGTAGACGCGGAATTTGTTGTGGTCGATCTTGGGGTCTAGCGAGACTTGGTTGTGCCATGAGACGACGGCGTGCGACATCTTGCAACCGACGATGTTGGGGTGTTGGGCGAGGATGCGGTAGGTTTCGGGGGTGACCATGACGCCGTTGGTTACACCGGGGTAGTTGTAGCTGTCGCCTCGTTAGTACGATACAACAACTTCACGTGGTTGGAACTCACATGAGTACGGGTAATGGGCTCTTGTCCGCGACGACGGTATACCATTCTCTGATGCCTTCCTGGCTCGCCGCGGCTCCGAAGTAGCCCGGCGCAAGGACAAGTCCCCATTGCGCGCCCGCTTTCTTGAAGTCTTCCAGCCACTCAAGCGTCTCATCCACGCTGTTGATCAATGTACCAGCCATGATTGGGTAGTCCTTGAAGCCTGCCTCTTCTAGCCCCTTCCGTACACCAGAGACAAGGTCGATGCGCTCCTGTCGCGACATGTGAATCGCTTCGCCCGTGGAGCCGAGCAGGACGAGACCGCGCACGCCATTTTTGGCAAGGAATACAGAGTGCTCGACTTGAGTCTGCACGTCGACAGCGGGTTGCAGCGATTTGGATTCGGATTGGGGTTTGAAGAAGGTCGGGACGGGGACGAAGACGCCGGTTGGTGGTGATGATGTCATCCTTGTGGCTCGTGCGTAGAATCGCGTTCTTGTCGCTTGGTGATGTGTTTCTTCTTTTTACTGGAGTCAAATGTCAAGCAGCAGCTATTACGCGCAGCGAGTACCGCGAGTTTTATTGCAAGTCTTGATCAGCCGTTCCTCGGGTTGCTTTACTCCAGCTGCCGAAGCTATGCGCCCCGCGGTGGAGCCCTTCTGGCCCTTTTGACCCCGCGCCGCCGTTCGGCTTACCGCGAAGGGGACATGGCGGCGGCATTGTGCTGATTGGCCAATCTAGGAGTTATGTAGACCCAGATGGCAATGCCATGTTCCAAGTGAAGAACATGCTTGAGAACCTAACAGTAACTTGGCATCGACAACTCCGAACGTTAACAGAGATAGTAGAGTACAAAAACGAAGAGCGTAAGCCATGGGCAAAATAGCAACGATCGAGTACTTTCGCGTTCCACCGCGTTGGCTGTTCGTCAAGATCACCGATGCAGATGGAAATTATGGTTGGGGTGAAGCATCACTAGAAGGCCATACACAAGCAGTCGAAGGATGCTTAGACGCTTGGGCTGAGCGTTACGTCGGCTTCGAAGCAGAGTGAGACAATCCCAAGTATATGGAGCCGCATCAATACTGACGACATAACAGTGACATCGAGCACGTATGGCAAATGTGCTGGCGCACCAGCTTCTACCGTGGCGGACCAGTCTTCATGAGCGCACTAGCTGGCATCGACATTGCACTCTGGGACCTCAAGGCTCGGAAACTCAATGTGCCAATCTACCAACTCCTCGGAGGCAAAGTACGCGACAAGCTCAAAGTGTATGCGTGGATTGGTGGAGACAGACCAAACGATGTCAAAGAGCAAGCGTAAGCAAATCTTGACTACAAGACATCGCCGTAGCCGCAAGCATGCAGTACTAATGTACATAAATAGTCTAGCACGAAAGGCCCAGGGCTTCCACGCCGTAAAAATGAACGCAACAGAAGACATTGGGTGGCTCGACTCCCCATCAGTCCTCCAATCCGCCGTCGACCGTCTCAAAACAGTCAAAGACCTCGGAATGGACGCCGGTATGGACTTCCACGGACGCGTCCATAAGCCCATGGCCAAGCAACTGGCGCGAGCCCTGGAACCACACCACCCACTCTTCATCGAAGAACCCCTACTCTCTGAACATATCACAGGTATCACATCGCTTCACAACCAGACGTCCATACCCATAGCGCTAGGCGAACGCCTCCATTCACGGTGGGATGTGCGCCCCTTCCTCGAAGCCGGCTGCGTCGACATCCTCCAACCAGATATCTCGCACATAGGCGGTATATCAGAAATGCGCCGTATAGCCTCCGCCGCAGAAACCTACGACGTAGCCATCGCGCCGCACTGCCCCTTAGGCCCCATCGCCCTCGCCGCGTGTGTTCAGGTAGATTGCACGCTACCCAATTTCGCGATTCAAGAGATGAGTTTGGGTATACATTATAATGCTGGTAGTCAGGATCTTACGTCTTACACGAAGAATCCCGAGGTGTGGGATGTGAAGGAGGGGTATATTGAGTTGATGAAGGGACCGGGGTTGGGGATTGAAGTTGATGAGGAGATGGTTAGAAGGGAAAGTAGGGATGCAAAGGCTTGGGTTAGTCCGGGATTTATTGGGCCTGGGGGTGAGGTCAGAGAGTGGTAGGGTGTTGAGGTCTACATCGCATTGGCAGTGTGTGGATAGAGGCATCATGGGGAGGCCTGGAGGTTTGCAAGTTACTTTTGCTTGATGGGCAGAGACATCATGGGTAGGTCTGGAGATATACGCATGATTCTGTATGAAGCTTGTAAAGTCCGCTGGCGACGTGAGTACCTCCTCGCTATTCCATGAGTCTCCCATCCACACGATAATCCGAGGTGAAGGCGAACACAATAGGTAAATTTTCCACCTTCACTTCTCCACTTTTCCCCATTGTCGTCTCCAGCAGTCACCTCGACTTTTCAATCCACCTCATAATAGAAAGATAGCTATTGTACCGTTCCCCCCAGCTTTGCAGCTCCCAGATGCCCAATATATAAAGAGCGATTTCCCCGTCCCCTCTCTTCTTTCTCCAGCCCACACATTTCCAACACACACATACATACCATCACATATCTTTGCCAAAATGGCATTCCTCTTCTTCCTCGCCGTCTTTACTCTCCTGGGGTGGCTCGCTTGCGAGTATGATGACTTCTGGGCTTCTCCCCCATCCTCTTCTTCTTCTTCGGTCCCTGCGGCTGGTCCGCATACCGCCCCATCTTCGCCTTCCTCTTCGCTGCCGCGCCGAGAGCGTCGAGCTCTTGCGCGTGCTCGGTCCCGGTCTCCTCCTCCGGTCCCTGAGTGGGCTCGCCCTGGCTCCCTCCTGTCGCCGCCCCGACAGCAGCAGCAACAGCAACAGCAACAGCAACAACAGCAGCAATACTTGCCAGCTGAGGGCAAGTACGACACATTCCTGGACGTGAGGTCCACCGAGGCCTCTGGCCAGATAGAAAGAGTTTGGGATCCGGTGTGTGGGTGGCGCTGGCGTGCGGTTCGTGGTGAGAGATTGGCTGCGAGTTTGGTTCCCCTTCCGAATTCGCCTCCCCCCTCGCCTTTCGTCGCTCCGGTTCCTCCTCCGGTCGTGGTTCTTGCTGCTCCTGTTCCCGCTCCGGCTCCTGTGGTTGTTTCGGCACCACCCGCCCCCATTGTCGCACCGCCGCCGCCTCAGCGCACAGTCGCTGAAATCCTGGCCGGCATCCCGTCGAAGCCCGAAGGGCTCGTACACATCTTTCCGCTCCCGGCTCCAGCACCAGGACCACAGCTACAGCCTCTGTTTGGTGGGTTGTCGCTGGCGACACCTGCTAATCATGCTTCGGGCTCCCTGGGACTGGTGCTGCCCGGCTTCACATCCTCGGTTTCGGCTCCTCTCCCTCCTCCTCGACACCCCTCTCCCCCAGCGGAGGCTGACCATAAGCCTCCGGCTGACGACAATTCCGGATTTGTCGCGCCGCCACCTTCCCTCTCTCTTCCAGCTGGGGCTGACCATAAGCCCCAGGCTGATGACATTCCTGGACCTGTCGCGCCCGCTCCTCTCCCCTCCTCTTCTTTCGCCTTCGGGCCTGGATCTGGTGCTGCTGCTCCGTCCTTCGGTGCTGGTTTCGGTGCTGGTTTTGCCGCGCCTGCTCCCGCTCCTTCCTTCGGTGGCGCCTTTGGTGCCGGTTTGGCCTTCGCGCCAACCTCGTCTTTCTCCTCTGGTCCCGCCTCCCGCCCCTCCTCGCGCCGTCGCGGTGCTGGCCGTGGCGGTAACGTCATCTACCAACTCCGCGAGGTCGCTGCCCCGGGCATCAAGGACGACGCCGACGACAAGACCTCCCGCCGGGAGACCCCTCTCGACGCTGAGCTCTTCAGCATCCTGCAGGTCATGGCAGCCGACCTCGGGCATGTGAGCTCGGTCGGTCTGGACAAGATCGCCGACTACATCTCCGGTTCTTCCCTCGCCTCTTTCGAGACGAATCTTCGTCGCAAAGAGAACGGACTTCGCTCGTTTGCTAACCTCCTGCGTTGGCAATGCAAATCTGGTCAGTCGCTGCCCCCTGGTGGGACAGTGGCTCTTCGTCAAACCATCTCCGTGCTGGCACGTGTTGATGGGTTGGTGACTGGGTTTGTCGCTGACAATGGGGGTCAGCAGCAGCTGTTCGAAGGGGGCGACTTCTTCTTGTGGGCGCGGGCGTGGCGCTACCTGGAGACGGTCGGCTGGCAGGAGAACAAGGTTCAACTGCAGCGAGAACTGGACGCGGCGCTGTTTGGGCAGTTGGAGGAGTTGGTGAGGAAGCACCAAACCCATTGGGTGAGGTTTCTGAAGCCGGCTCGCGCTCAGAAATGAGGCGGTGGGGTGCAGCTTTGTTTGCGAGCGCCGTTTTGGTATGCTCTTTTTTTTGTATGCTTGTTGTCGGCTGGTCCGCAATGGGTACTGCACTTCACGATTAGTAGATAGTTGAGAATGGTACTTTTTCTGCCTTCTCATGTCATCTCCAAACCATGCTTGCCTCTGTTGAAGTGATTCATTATACCTACGCTTGATATCCTCGACTACTCCGGACTTTGACATCTCCCAGCCTGTAGGCCGCTGAAGCATAGCGCGACATTCCAAGATCCCCTCGTTCTTTGCTTCGAATGTCCGCATACACCTCTAGGCTATCCCAATCTACTCCTCATCAACATTCTCCCGGCTCGAATGCCCGCTGAAGTGTTTGAACTTGATCTGCATCGGCGACTCCCCCAAGAGACCAGAATGATGGACCGGCGGCGGTGGAAGATGGATTGGTCGAAGGCCACCAGGTAGCAAGGGCGTGGGCGGGATGATGATGTCGGGTCGAGCGGGCGAGCCAGCCGGGGTAGTAGAGCCGAGTGTGGAATCAGCCATGGATCTGGTACTGTCGTTCCAAGATGCAGTCTCCTCCAGTACCACAGCTTCTTCACTTCCATCTACCCGGGTCGAGGGCGCCATCATGTTCATGTTGCGATACGCAGCGACGCCCTCTCCCATCGTCTCATCGACGTATGCAGTCTGACTCCACAGCAGCGCTTGCCACGGCCACACGAAGCCCTCGTCTTCCCAAGGCCAGGTGTGCGTCTCGGTGTATTCCATCAACGCGAACGCAGCGAAGATCAGCATGCTCGCACACAGGAAGCCAATCTACAAGCCGTTAGTAATGTCTTCCAGGTAGCTTCCACGACGTACATACCACGGCGTTGGTCAACTCTTGGGGTCTAGGGAAGAACCCGGGCTGCTCATACTCTGCGACCGCGAATAGAGTACTGGCGACAAGTGCGACGAATGCATATCTGTACTTGGCGAGAGGCGCGATGATCCTGCGATATTCTTGGCGGATGTTTTCGGGGAGGAAGAATTCTACGACTCGCGTTCTGATGTGACGTAGGAAATTGAGCGTAGTGGCGGTAGTGGTAGCAGGTGCGGTTGTCAAATTGGTCGTTGAAGTGGCCATCGTTGCGGGTGCGGGTGGAGAGGTGGCTGTGCGGGTCGATGTCGCGACTGCCTTGTTCGCGGTCAGTGAGATCATGCTACTCGAAAAGTCTGTGCGACGCGCTTCCCAATGCAAATTCCGGGGCGTGAAAGTAAGGAAAGCGCGCACTGCCCTATTTGGGTAAAGAAAACAAACAAAGAAGACTGCGCGCATAGCAAACGCACGTCCGCGCGTTGCAGCAAACACCTGGCGGAGAAATGCCCTGTCGTCTCTAGAATGATCACCGGCGGAAGGGTGCATTAGCCCAAGATGAAAACTTCAGAACAACACGAACAGGTCAGACTATATAAGTCATCCCATGATACTCACTATCGGAATCTTCGCAGCCGTTATCGAAGATGTCAGGAATCTATTCAGGGTATATCATCAATCTACTGCCAAGTCTACAAGCAACACTCACTCCTTCGGCTTAAAAACGCGATGTCTCGCCAAAAGTTGCGATATCATGAAATGCGAAACGTCCTCGTCGGCCCAATATGTCATGTGACTCGCTATACTCGCCAGCAGCGAGATATCAAAAGCCTGTTGCAATGTTAGAACCGTAAGCTACACATGGAGAGGATTTTGTCACTTACGCCTTCTTGGATACTGTAATCCACGCGACCATTACTGTTCAGCGCCCGGACTTTAGCTTCCTCCTTCTTAAGCTTACGACTTCGTTCTTCTAGCTCCTGCCATTCGAGATCTTTCTCTACGTCTCGCTCGCCGTCTTCGCTTTGTTGACTTGCTCTTCGCTTTTGGAAACCAGCAAAGAGGGTTTCGATGTCCCCTTCGATGAGGGTGGGAGGATGTTCGCCGTCTGTGCCCTCGGCAATGGTCTCTTGCCCGAGGCGGCGGCGACGCTCTTCGCTGATGAAGGCACTGGTCGGCTCGTTGAGTCCTGGCACAAGATTTACAGCGCTATTTGGGGCGGGCGCCGCAGCGGTGAGGGGTCGAGAAGTGCGCTGTCCTTGTGTATTGTTGCCTGCGCCTGTCATCTCGGTTCCTGATATGCCAAGGCTGCGGTTGAGGAGTCCACTGGCGATGCCTGTAGCACATGGTTTGTCAGCATGTATTTCCTAGTAACGAACATATCAGGTAGCCAGAGGTGGTCCGAACTTACCAGATCCTAGAGAAGTCCAAAAGTCAGTCACACCCTGGCCAACGCGCTGTCCAATACCAGTAAAGCCTTGCGATGCAGGCGCACCGAAGATGCCCTTTTTGGTATAAGGTAGAGGCTGAGCCTTAAGAGCTGACATCGCTGGCGATATCAACGGCTCGATGCGATAACTGATCGGATCGGTCGGATGGAAGATGTTGAAGACTTGCTTGCAGAGAGGCGAGGAAGTCGTAATATCGAACGCATGCTCGTCTCCGCCTTGTGAGAAGGGGTCATCAATCGACGTCGCAGGCGTCTTTGGCGGAACAAATCCAGTAGGGGAATTCTGCGGTCTTCCAACAATTGTACGCCCCTTGAGCATCTGGAACAGGCCAATAGGCGATCCAAGAGCATAGAAGTCCTCCACCTCAAAGTCCAGCTTCAGGCCTTCTTCGGTAGATCTTCGCTGTTTGGCCGATTGTGCGCTTGGTTTGGCTTTTGGGTCTTTTTGGATGCATAAAATATCGAACATGATGGCAGACCCGAGCGAGTGCCCGACTAAGCTCACTTTGCCTTTGAAAGACGGGTTGCGCTCCTTGAATAGGCGGTAGGTGCGGTTTAATTCATTAACGACGATGCGAGAGATATGGCCCTTGTAAGCGGGACTTTGATACAGCAAGATGTCAAGCGCGAGATCAGTAAGGAAATTGCGAACAGCGGGAACGCCTGTGTTGTTAGTTATCGAGTCTAGCTCAGGACCGGATCGCTCAACTCACCTTCAACGGTTATGTCCTCGAGATTAGGATACTCTTCATCTTCATGGTCGAGATCGCCTAGGTCGTGTTCTTTGCGGTTGTGCTTCAAGCTTTGCTTAGGGAAGTCCAATAAGTGCCGCCAAATTATGGGGATGACTTGTATGCGGTTGTTCTTGGTCTCTGAGTCTGTTTCCGCATTCAGGGCTTGCAAATCGGGCGAAGCTGAGTAGACAGATTTGAGGGACTTGCGCAACGTGTTGACGTCGTGGATGAAGTTGATAGACTCCATTCGCATTCCGAGCCGTTGTCCAATGCCATGTGTTACTAAGAGCAGATGCTCGATGTCACGGTCTTGATCACTGCCGTGCTGCGTTTTGTAGTCTTCACGCATCTCTTTCTCCTCACGCTTTCGTATTTCCTCTTCTTGTTGTTGCTCATATTCTGGTTTCGAGGAAGTCATCAGTGACGATACCTGTCGTTCGAGATTGCGCCTGCGCGTTTGCGAAGGCGACATGCTTCGCTCGTTTTCCGACGTTTCTCCGTCGGCGTCAGAGTCAGACTGCTTGCCGTGATCTGAACCATATGCCAGGGCGGGGGTAGCCGGTCGGTCCTCCTGTTTTGCGCTTTGAGATCCCTTCCCTGGGGTCGGTTGTTTCTTCTTTTCTTTGGGATCGGTGTACCCTCGGATGTATTTGTACCCAGCATAATGGGCTCCTCCAGCGAAGCGCTGGTACAGGGTACTGCCCATGCGCGACCACATGTCATCAGTCAACATCCAGGCTGTCGTCTCGTCTTGATAGGTGACGGTAGAGTTTAGATGTGCGCCGAACAGTCGGTGTGTGCGCGGTAAGTCGGCGGGCGCATTGGAGGTCGTAGATGCATCGCCGGGGTTGAGATCGTTGGACTGTTTCGAAGCCTCTTTCTGTAGATTATCATACGACGACTTGGGCGTGACTGGGTTGGATGTCGAATCGCGATTCAGCCTGGCCAGCTCCTTGCGGTGGTCCTCGCCAGCACTTGGGCCCATAGAGAGCGGCCGAGCGCGGGGTTGCGAGACTGCTCGCTTCTCTTCCGGCTTCCCGAACTTCCATGGCTTGACTTTCAGGTAGCCTTCCTCGAGCTGCATGGCTAGACCTTCATCGACAGCCTCCCCATCTGGTGTGAACCACGTCCCTCGCTTCACATCGTATACAGGACCCAGCCAGTATGATGGCGCCAGCTCGCGTGTCTCGATCTCGACATCGAACAGGTAGTCTTCGTTGACGGGCACCTTTGTGGTTTTGGGAGGAGTCGCGCTCGCTTGGGTGGGCGTCGTGGGGCTGATGATGCCCTTTCGCAGTTCGTCGGCATCGGCTTCGTCGGCAGTCTTCTGGAAGGCGGCCTCGATGGCGCGAGAGTCGCTGGCGCCGAAGGGTATCCATTTCTTGGGTTTGGGCAGGGCCGTGTCTGGGGCCATGGCATGTTTCGAGAGGGGTTTGCGCTTGGGCGTCTGCCAAAGTCAGTGCCGCAACGGAAGGCAGGAGCGCTGTGGAGATGACGAAAGCCCAAAGGTGTATATTGACTACTTACATCTATAGCATGGAACCACCTCACAGCCAGCGGAGGACAGTCCTTGGGGTACCGCTTGAGACTCAGCCTGTACCTCCGGTCAATCACATGGTCTCCTCCCTGCTGAGGAGCCAGCACTGCCGCAGCTCTATCCTTCTCCTTCTCCTGCTCTGCCTTCTTCGGCTTGTCCGCACTCCCCTCGGCCTTGGATGTCGCCGGGGGCTTGGGGGTGCCGGCGCGTGAAGGCCATGGGGATAGATTGGAGAGAAAGCCCTGCTTATTATCCGGGGCAGCCATTCTGTCGACTGGAGGGGCGTCGCCGCCAACGCGCAGCTTGCTCAGCCAGGACTTTGTGTTGTATTGTGAAGCTTGGAAGGGTGGAGCCAGCGGCCTCGGGCGGGGCGATCGGCAAAGCACGCGAAGATGGACGCGTCGAGGAAACGTGTTGGCGATGGAG